GCACTATGCTAAAAGTTTTTTTTGTGTGTGACAGTCTTACTCTGTCACCCTGGGTAGAGTGTAGTGGCGTCATTGTAGCTCACTGCAGCCTCAAACTCCTGGGCTCAAGTAATCCTCCTGCCTCAGCCTCCTGAGTAGCTGGGACTACAGGCACATGCCACCATACCTGGCTATTTTTTTTTTCTATTTTTAATAGAGATGGGGGTCTCACTTTTGCTCAGGCTGGTCTCAAACTCCTGAGCTCAAGTGATCCTCCCACCTTGGCCTCCCAGAGTACTAGGATTACAGGTGTGAGCCACCGTGCCCAGCTATGCTAAAAGCTTTACACACATCATATGAGGCTTTTCTCACAACAATTCTATGAGATTATCACTGTTTTCATGCCCATTTTATGGACAACGTAACTGAGTCCCAGAGAAATTAAATAATTTATTAAGGGCTGGAACTAGGATTCGAATTCAGAATCCAGAGTCTGGAACCTACGCTCTTAATCACTCTGCTAGGTTGCTTCTGTTCATTCATTAGTTTGGCACGATTGGTTTTTTTAATTTTGCGTGTGTGTGACAGGGTCTCACTTTGTCCCCAGGCTGGAGTGCAGTGGTGCAGTCATAGCTCACTGCAGCCTCGAACTCTTGGGTTCAAGTGATCCTCCTGCCTCGACCTCCTAAAGCACTAGGATCATAGGCATGAGCCACCTCTCTTGGCCTCAGCACGTTTTTGAGTGTTCACCATGTGCAAGTGCTGGGTATATGCCATGAATAGGGTGCCTTCCACACTCTAGCTCTCTGAAGACAGGGCCACATCTGTCCTGTTCACTATGGTATCCCAGTGCCTAGCATGGGCCTGGCATGGTCAGGTGGACAGCCCCTCTGCTGCCTCTGTGTGCTTTTCATCCCAATGGGAGGGGAACAGCCTACAAGTCCAGAGAACCTGTTCTCTCCCAGCTCCATCTAGTACTGCAGTGGCAAGGCTTATTGACTTTTCAGAGCCTTGGTCTACCTCCTGTATAAAGTGGGGATGATGTTAATTTGGTACAGTGGGTTCCCTTACTGTCCCAGCAGCATCTCCAAGTGAGTTGCTTAAGGGCTGAAGTGGCTTTGGCAGCCTGCGCTGCTGATTCTCCATTCTAGGGACTCCAGCTTTAAGATGCATCAGGCACTTAGCTCCTGGCAGCCAAGGGCTCATTTCCTGTTTCCTTTGTGCAGGCTCAGATGTGACTGTCCAGCTGGACACGGCGGAGCTCAGCCTCGTATTCCAGCTACCCTTTGGTTCGCACACCAGGACGTTCCTCCAGGAAGTCACCGGGGCCTGTCCAGGTAGGAAACACTCCAGGCTCCTGGGGTCGGGGTGTTGGCCGGGCATCACCTACCCACTTCAGTTGACTTTCCACCCTTTGGACTCACACTCCACAGTTTCTGTGCCCTCTCAAAGCTGCTGGCATGAATCCCCAGTGCCCCCAGGCTGCCAGCCAACCATGGTGTATGCTTTTCTGTTTACGGTTTCTGGACTTGAATATTAACAACAGCAGGGCCCCTTTGCCCTCCTAGCTACAGGCAGGGCTGCACAGGGTGGACTGTGACTGTGATGCAGAATCTCCTACAAGCTGGCAACGTCAGCAGCTTGTAAAGGACCATCTTTCCTCTCTCTGCCACCCATAGCTAGAACCAAGTGAAGTCTGTCATATCTGCTCTCTCCCACCCTTGAACCCTGCTCTATCCCCCTCTGTAGCTGAGAAAATGGTCTAGCTTTGGGCTAGCAGTGAGAGGTTAGTGGCCTCTAGGACAGAATTTGTTTAGATCAGGAAATCAGCCAGGCAGGTAAAGGAGAATTTGCTTACCAAGCAGAGGATCAGTCACAGAAGATGCAAATTCAAGCCACCAGGTGCTGGGGATTAAGTGTTTACCCAGCACTTTCAGTTGTTTCCTTTCAAGCTAACATCTTGTCTCTGTGAGAATGGGGGTGGGGGAAAAGGCTTGCCTTCTCTGTGGTCTCACTGTGGAGCCTGAACTTATCTTGCCTGGTATGCCAGGAAGGAGACTGGCTTTGGATACGAACTGGGGTATGCAGAAAAAGGAAGTAGAAACATGATTATAGAGCCTTGATTGCCTGGTTAAGGGGTTTAAAATTTATTCTATAAGCAGGGGGAAATTTATCTTTAAATCTTAATAAGGACAACTTACTTACGATTATGAGTAATAGTCGTAGGAACTGCAATAATAGTGGTAACACCAAAAAGCAGGGGCTTCGAAGCTGTACAACTCCTTGAGTCTGAAACTCATCTCTGCCAGTCCCTAGCTATACAACTTTGGGGAAGCCACTTCACCTCTCCAAATCTTAGTTTTTATAGGCTTCTGTATGTAATGAATATCTTCCTCATGGGGTTGTGAGAATTAAATGAGATAATACATGTGAAAGTACCCAGCACATAGCAGGAGCTCAGAAAACGTTTTTTAATCTTTACTACAATCTTACAAGGTAAGTATTATCAATGTCTCCATTTTGCAGATGAGGGAGCAGAGGCTCAGAGAGAGTAAGAGCCTTGCCTGAGTACTTAGCTAGTATAAGAAATGACAGAGCCAGGATTAGGCAGGATTTAAGAGTTCTACTCCAGGGCCTGAGCTCTTGAGTGTTTTGCTCTAGTTCTTCCTCACCGCATGCCACCCTCTCCCCTACAAACAGCTCAGGGAAGGCTTCATGCGGGACGTGGTGTTTAAGCTGAGACTAGAAGGATGAACAAGAGTTTTTTCCCAGGCAGGCAACAAGGAGGAAAAGGGCATGGCAGTCCCCAGGGAAGAGGAGGGAAGCGCCGTGGTTTGGTGGGGGTGAATTTGGGGTAGAAGGAGGGTGTGGCAAGAGCTGAGTCAGGAGAGGCCAGCAGAGGGCAGCTCATGAAGGGTCTTAAATAACAAGTAAAGAGACTGGACTTTGCCCTACAGCTTATGAGGAGCCTAAAAGGAATTTTAAGCTTGGGGAGTGATAAGGCAAGATTTACAAGTTAGAAAATTTCTCTGGCAATTGCTATGGAAAAGGAGAGCTGAGAGCAGAGAGATCAATAGGAATGTATTGCAGGGGTGCAGGAATAAAAAAATGAGGCTTGGACCAGGACGCTGGTCATGGAAGTGGGGAAGGAGAGATGGACTGGAGAGATACTGAGGTCAAACTGATGAGAGTGAAGGCACCCTGGGGGCAGTGAATTTGGGTCATGTTCACAACTTTATCCTCCCTGATTAGAACAGTGCCTGTCATGTAGCAGGCACTTAAAAAATATTTTTTGAATGTATGAACAGAGTTTGGCACCTGGCTGTGAGAATGAAGGAGGGAGAGGAGTGGAGGATGACGTCTCTCTTTTAGGGTTAGGTGTGTGTCTTGCAGTCCCCTTACCTGCTCTTCCTTCAGGGGTCCAAATGGTACCTGGGGTAACCAGCAGGGAAACTGCACCAACTCAACCTCTCTGAGTGGTCGTCATGATGGGGATTTCCTCAGGGAGGGCACTGGGTAGGAGGAGACTCTCAGAATTGACAGACTCTTTGATATCCACCAGCCCAACCCTTGTATTTTATAGATAAAGGGACTAGAGTCCAAGATGAGGTCACAGGTGAAAGGAACTAGGTTTTTTCCACTCAGTCCTTGATGGATAATGTTGTACAGCACAAAACGCCAGAGAGTGGAAGTGCCTTGGCCAAGAGACCACAGTAAGAGAAACATTAGCTAACAAGAGACCACAGTTAACTATATGAATCGAGCCCTTACTATGTGCTAGACATTTTTCTAGATTTCTAGACAATGTACAACAACCATGTTTGTTTTCTGTTTAGTCTTTTGAGCAGTACCAAGGAGTAGACATCCTGTTTTATAGATGAGTAAACTAACACAGATAAAGTAAGTAATTTTCCCAAGTTCATTCATCAATTGAAGTAGCAGGACCAGGTTTGAAATCCTAGGTTCTGATGCCAGAGTCCATAAAGTCCAGTGATTTCAGTTCAGATCCCAGCTCTGCCACTTCCTAGATATGAATGTGGACAATGTATTTCATTTCTACAGACTTTCACTTTCTTATTTGTCCAATGGAAATATAAACTTGCTTTACCTAATCGAAGGGTTTTGTGAGGGTCAGATGAGGCCAAGTATGGGTTAGTAGTATGTAAATGCTGAAAATGTTAATAATTTAAAAGCTGTGTCTGGCAGCGCCATAGGTAGGGCTGGAATCCAAGTCCCCTTGTGTATCACGTTCTTGCAAATCCAGTTGAGTTCGGTCAGGCTCATGCAGTTCTATAAGCACAGTAGGCAGGATAGCAGAAGGGTTAACAGCAAGTGTTTTGGAGTCAGACAGACCTGGGTTTGAGTCAGAGGCAGAAGTGGCTCAAGAATGTCTAGGAATTGATATTTTGGGCTGGATGATTAAAAAAAAAAGAATTTCTAGGAAGAAGGGGTGGCAATCTGGTTAATGGGGAAACAGAGGACCTGTCTTAATAGTATATTAATAGCAAGCACACTGATTTTACTTAGAGCATGTGTTTCTTTGGAGCAGCCTGCAAATTGCAGATGGAGGTTATGGGTAGTTAGCATCTGTGTGGGTCCCTCCCTCTGCCACTCACTCTGTAACCTTAGACCTCTCTGAACTCAGTTGCCCCTTATATAAAATTGGGATAATAGTTTTCTATCTCATAAAGTTTGTGTAAGGATTAAGGAGGTTATATATATACATGAAACGCAGATCTTGGCATATAGTTACCATGAGGTCAGAGGAATGGCGAGCGTGTCTGCCTTGGAAGTACTTTTGTGTTCACAATTATTGCATTTGAACCTCAGACCCACCCCGTGCTCGAGGGAAACGGGCTTGGAGACTCTCCAGAAGATACAATCATGCAGAGGTGGAGCCGGCTCTTCAAGCCCGTGGCTCAGTCTGACCTCCTTGTTCCTGCACAGGCCTCGATTCTGCAATCCGAGATCCTCAGTTCCTGTGGCTGTCTCGGTATAGGTGCACAGAACCGCAGCTGGAGTCGCCCACGCCCCGTGCTTGGAATTCGGCCCCAGGTACCTGGCCAGAGTGCGCGACAATTGGCGGAGGCAGGTACCCATCTCGGAAGGGGCTGTGGGGATTGGAGGAGGCGCAGCTTCAGGGGGCGGGCTCCGTTCTGTTTGGGGGAGGGGCTATGGAACAGACGGACTTTCGATTGGTGGACGTGGGGCCCGGGGGCGGGCCCACCTGGGGGCGGAGCGCGCGGGGCGGACGGCGGGATGAAGAGCTTGAAGAAGCAGGCAGGGAAATGTCTGCCGCCGGCTCTCGGGAGCGCGATTCTGCAGGTCTGGCGGGCGGCGGGAAGCGGGGCTCGGGAGCTGGGCCAGGGGCGGCGGCGGGCCCGGCCCGAGGGTGGACGTAGGGGTGAAGACCAAGGTCCTGGCCCTCCAGAGGCGGGGACACTGAGGCAGAGGTTCCGTGATGTTATTCTCAGCCGGGCATGACGAGGGCAGGCGGGTTGGAATGGGATACTCGGGAATCCGGAGGCTGGGGTTTTAGTAAAGCTCCGTTTCTAACTCGCTGTGTGACGTGGGACCACTCGCTGTCCCTCTCTGGGCCTCAGTTTCAACCGAGCTTGCTCTTCAGTCCCTACCTTCTGTCTTTGGCGTGTGCATGGGTGCACTCCCTGTGACAGAGCCTTCCTTTGGGTGGGTATGGTGTATTGGGGTTCTCTGTCCGTCCTCAGCCCCTATGGTAGATTGGGCTGGGCAGAGAGATGTAGTCCAGGAGAGCCCTGTCCACCCGGGGACTTAAGGCCAGGATGAGGTTACAGATAGATGAAAGGGGACTAGGTTTTTTTCTGCCCAGTTTTGGTGGTTAATGCTGTGCAGCACAAAAGGCCAATTATTGAGCAGGAGATTGTCTTTTGGAGAGTGAGAGGCTCAGGGTTGAAATTTGGGTCATTCTGGTACATTGGGAGGGCCTGAAAACCTGTCTTTTCTGTCCAGTTCTATGGTTTTCTGCAAAGCCTCCTGGTGTGTTTTTTCCCCCCGGGGTGTGCCTATGAAACCCCAGTTATGTGCAAGCTTTGGCATGCCCACTAGTATCCACTTGTACCCCTTTTCTCAGTCCTTTGCTAGCAATGGAGAGTCTGTTAAGTAGCTGTGTAAAGAGTGGCCACCACTTCACTTGCTCTAAAGTTCTTGGAAACTAAGGGGCAGGGAGGAGTGGCATGTTGCACAAGAGTTTGTAAAATGAGAGGAAACTAGACAGGCAGAGGACTTCCTCAGTGCTTATGTTTTTCTTTCATTGCAACTACCACAAGGCGCGATTGAAGCACCTGATGGTACTGATAGTTTGCATCATTCTTGGGCTTATCTCAGAGTTCACTCGAAGAGCCGATTTTGAGACAGCTATTGCTTCAGTTTCTATGACATTCTGGGTTATGGCGCTGGGATGGGTGAGAGATTAAGATTAAGAGCATATCCTTGGCCAGGTGTGGTGGCTCACACCTGTAATCCTAGCACTCTGGGAGACTGAGACAGGAGGATCGCTTGAGGTCAGGAGTTCAAGACCAGCCTGAGCAAGAGCGAGACCCTATCTCTACCAAAAATGCAAAAATTAGCTGGGTTTGGTGGCACACACCTGCAGACCCAGCTACTTTGGAGGCTGAGGCAGGAGGATCGCTGGGCTTAGGAGTTTGAGGTTACAGTGAGCTATGATTATGCCATTGCACTCTACCTGGGGGGACCAGAGCAAGACTCTGTCTCAAAAAAAAAAAAAAACAAAAACAAAAACGAAAAAAGAGTATATCCTCATATCCTCTCCTTGCCCCTTTGCAAGAGGCTGCCAGAATCCTTCCAGATAATTGGTGGAGGACAGGCCCAGTGGCAGCAGAAAGAGGTGGACTCTGTCTTCCCAGCCAGAGTCTCCAGAGCCAGGCTGTTGGACTGTTGCAATGCTTCATTCCCTTCATAGAGGGAC